CTACCTGGGGAACCACACAGTGCTGCTTACATCGCTTTCGCCGCCCAAAAGACCCTTCGGACCCCAGAGGAGACCCCACACTGCCCCCCTGAGACCTTCGGGATATCAGGTCACCACCCTGCAGCAACACAGAGTATGTAGCTTCATATTATTCTGCATTGCTGTATAATGTATTGCTGGGATTTGCAGTCCTCTATAGCTGATGGTATTCTGCATTGCTGTATAATGTATTGCTTGGAATTGTAGTTCTCTGTAGCTGATGGAATTCTGCAATGCTGTACAATGTATTTCTGAGATTTATAGTGCTCTATAGCTGGTGGTATTAATTTGCATTGCTATATATTGTGCTGAGATTTGTAGTCCCTCTACAGCTTGGAGTTAGTGGCAGAAGTACCAGGGTCGCAGCAGTCGTACACGCGCACAGCACTGACGAGGCATCCCTCCACTACCAGTGTTCTACAATTTTCCTCAACCCATTAATGTCTCTACTGCGTCACTTCCAGGTGCACGTGTCATGAAGAAAGGGAGTCATGAAAACAGCTGATTCGGATGACTCGGCCCCACTGAAAGTGACACAGTCGAGAAAATGTATAGGATCGAGAAAAATGATAGAACACTGACTTTGACACTATCCAGCCCCTCCCACTAACCTCCCACAGCTCACTGCCCAGAAGCATGGACAGCCAGCGGCGGCCTACAGTGAGCGAGAGTGCCTAAGTGGCGGACATGGAGCGGGGTAAGGCAAGAACCAGGTAGGGAGCACAGTGGGAGGAGATCACCATCCCCCAGCCAGTCACCCCTTTTATGGACTTACTAGGAGTCCCCACTAGTGATGGGCTCGGGCGTGTTCGCAGCTCCACGTGCCGAGCCCGCCAGGAAGCTGACAGCGCCAATCACAGGCACTGAGACAAATCCCGATCTCTGCAGCTGCGGACTGGGATAATATCTCAGTACCTGTGATTGGCGCTGTCAGCTTCCTGGTGGGCTCGGCACGTGGAGTTGCGAACACGCCCGAGCCCATCACTAGTCCTCACATCACCCGACCATTCACACTAGTGTTACATGGATGCCAAAAGGGGGAAGGCGGGGGAAGAGGCAGAGCTGGAGGGTGGGCTAAGTTATCATGGGCCTCTGGGTTGTACTTGTTGCCAGTCAGCCCATGCTGTATTCCACAACTGCCGGACGTCGAGAGCAGATTAAATTGCGAATGGCATCGGCGCCCGGCCGTTGCGGTATGCGGGATTGTGGGTGGCGTTGGACTAAATGTCACAAACGCGGGGTGCCGATGCCATCCGCAATTAAATCAGCTCATCGGTGCCCAGCGGTTGCGACATGCAATGAAAGTTATTAGTGCCCCCCCAGATTTGACTGTTGTATCTTATGTGCCCCCCCTACATATTGTTCCTAGAGTCGCCACTGGTTCCTGACACTTATTAGAAAAGCATGGATAAGCTGCGAAACGTCTCCAACATTACATAATAGGTCTAGATGAATGTGACTAACTACTATTAGCTATACCATGACCTGGATAAATGCGAACAATAATAGATAAAAATCACTAACCCATTACCGTTCTATTTAGAAAAAATTAAACAGAGTTCACTAACACATATCTAGTTTGATTGGCTATTTACCTTTGCCTATTTTATGAGAAATTACTGCTCCATAAAGCATTTAGCAGAAAACTGAAGTATGTCTCAGACAGCAATATACCTTGTATAAACACTACAGTAATATTCAGCAATGTTCCCTAATCCATCAAGTGCTTGAATTTAAACTTCCTCTACCACCAAAACATGTTTTGCTTGGACTGCCCTTATTAAATGCCCCAAAACATTATGGGATTGTAAGATTTTAAATAACACAGAGGCAGGATATACAAGAGGGATATGATGGTCCAGGTCTGCAAGCCATGAAGATTTCCAGGATGGAAACTTCCATAGACATACAGTATGTAGTACTGTTCTTTGAAATCATGCATCAGTAGAAACTACAGCATTGTGGATCCTGTAAGTTCCAGTTACATCTGCAGCTTATAGTGAACAGTTTTCATCTCAGACCTACCTGTTGTTATGCATTCTGAATCAAAGCTTGTCACATCATTCAGTTTCTTTCCTTGATATTGAGAAGGACCAGAGCAAAGCACATCAGACACGGTGGAGTTCGTCATCTTCAGCCAAGAAAACAGCCATTTGGCTTTGCAGTCACACTCAAACATATTGCCCCGTAAATCCCTACAACAAAAAAGATACCGTAAGAAGAAAAGTAACACGTCAGCTGGGTCGCTCACGTCAGCTGGGTTCATTATGTTCTGTATAATGCGCACCCGCTGGTGTGCGTTGTGTAGAAGCGGTACGATGTATTGTTACCACACATTGCACTGTTTACCTTTTTCAACTTTATTCAAATGTCACATTGTAATGCGCTGCATTGCAGTGATTTGCACTGCATAGACATGCAGACATGTTACATTTTTGCGCATAACACACCACCCACACATGTATGGTGTGAACAGGACACATAAAATCAATTGTTTTCTGTTGTGTTGAGCTGCGTTGATCTATGCAAATCAACGCAGCTTAATGGACATAGTGTGATCAAGCCTAAAAGCAGGTTTACCCAAAATGGATATTTTTGAATCTGGTAAAAACTTGAACTTCTTATTTTTTTTCCTACTTGGGAATCCGATCATGAAATCTCTATGCTTGTGTTTCCAGGTCTGCATATCCTCCATGGCTTTTAATAGGAATTCCACTCTCTGTTAAAGCTGAAGTATAATCTGCTTATATTGTTTTCTTCCCCGTTTGCTCCTTTTGCTCCTCATCAACAGGCTAATTATTTTTTTAAATAAAACCTTTATGTTTTTATTACATACATCCCTTCAATAGTCCAAATCCCCCCCAAAAATGGCTCACTGGATCAACTGCTGTATTTGTTTTTGAGAAAGTCAACAATATAGTGCTGTAACCAGCCTAACTGTGCCTTGCTGCCTCAATCCAGCTCATTCTTCTCCGCTCTTGGCTACCCATGTAAAGAAACTCAACTGCAGGCGAAAAACAATTCATCAGGGGTCATGGGAAAAATGCACTTTAACTCGGTGGTCAGAGGGAAGAATGTCCCTCCTTACAGCAGTGGTCAGAATGCCAACCACAAAGACAACTAAAAAGATCATCGGTAACATGTTGATGGCTTTTTCAAGTAACATAGGCCCCAGAACTATGAAAAAAATCATCAAATAGGAAGTCAATCAGCCCCAGCTCGAGGAACCCTGGTTGAAAATGGCATTTGATGGAATCTGTATGCGTGCGTTTTCCAGGTCTGCACACGCTTTGTGGCTTTTAATAGGTGTTCCACTATCTCTGTTCACTCTCCAAATCCCAAAAAATTAAGGCTTACTGAATAAACTGTTGTATTTGTTTTTGAGTAAGCCAACAATAAGGTGCCATAACCACCCTAACTGTTTTCCCCAGTGGACGGGATTGTGTCTTGCTGCCTCTAAATTATTTTCAATCCAGCTTATGCTCCTCCCCCTTGGCTACCCATGTATAGCAACTCAATGGGACCAAAAAGTGTGTTGAGAGTGCGCAGATCCAGATACTGTATACTGTGGTTGTCCTAACCATGAAAATCTTCCCATTAACTGACGTAAGGAGTCTGGTGGTTACAGTGACAGTACTATTTGTTCATGGTTCTGATCAAACACTACTCAGACCACCCAGGCATTCCCATATGATTAGTAAATTAAAAGGTGTACTTGGACTAGTAATCCAGAAAATTAATTGCGGGTAATTTATCAAACTGGAGCAGTCAGTATCTTGAGCAGTTGCCTATGGCAACCAATCAGCATCTCTCTTCAGTCTGCTCAGTTGAGATTTGAAAATCAGAGATAGAAGCTGATTGGTTGCCATGCACAGCTGCTCCAGATTTTGTCTGTTCCAGTTTTGATAAATTCCCCCCATTGTCTTTACAGAAGCAGTACTTGTTTGTCTGTTTGTAATGCACTCCCTTACATCTGCATTCATTTTTACATTTGGAGCTACTGTACTGCATCATGTATACCCAAGAAACCACTAAACTACACTTTACACTTTAATTTGCTTCTCCACATTTTCTTTTAATGGGGAGCCTTGAGTTTAGCTTTAATGGCAAAAAAAAAAGATTTTCAGCAAAGTTTTCACTTCATCACACCTGTTTAATTGGGCTCTTCATTTCACTACAGAGTATATCTCGCTAAAAACTGAACCTACAGATATCATAGAGTTGTTGATGTAAACCACAATGGGACCTATTGAATATCAAAACATGCGAGGTATAAAGATAAACTGGCAGCGAACTGCTTTCCTTTCGTCTGGGTGGAATATGATGCTAAATAGCACATTTAATGGCAGGAGGCTCTCTGTTCTTTTATAGATGCTAAATCGCTTTATTCATACTGCAGGTCTAATGTACAGAAGACGTACTGAAAGATCAATCCACACACATCTCATTTATGTTTCTAATTTACAGTGGTGGCTTGAGTAAGGAGTATCATGAACAAATATATTCTAATGACTATATGTAGTTAGGGGTGCCATTCAGAATGAATGATACCACATCACACCAACACCAAAGCAATGCGATACCGCAGATCAGAGTTTGGGACCTGTTGAAATTTTTGCTCTGTGTTGCTGTGTAATAATAAATGTGTTAATGCGTGTTGTTTTGCATGCTATCGTGCATTGCATTAGGGCAGCCCATTTATTTGGATGAGCTGCCAACACACCAGCTTGCAGGCAATAAAGGACATTCACCATTTTTTTAGATGCAAAAAAAATAAAGCCGTGCGTTGTGGTGTGCTGCAGTGCAGAAGCATTGGGGTGACATTGCAATGCATCATGGTACACAAGATAAAAATGTTTACCACTGCCACAATGCATAGGTGTGAGTGGACCCTTAAAGTTAATTAAAGGTGATGGTTGTAGGCAACTCTGACAGTATTGTAGTTTTTTCCAATGCCTGCTCTGCTCGCCTCTGCTGAATGTACACATCTGTGCTGATAGAAAGGAGGAAGGTGTTCTTGGCACGGCTACCACAGCCCTACGTAATAAAAGATAGTTATAAGGTCAAAATAACAACTGGCAACAATATTTGCCTTTTTTTAGCTTAAAGAAGTCAGAACAAGACAGAAAAGGTGGCTGATTTCTTGCAATGGGTTACCACAATTTCCACACTGGCTTGTTATACAGGCCTGAATTTGTACTGTAGACCTTACACTCAATTAATTAAGCCTTCCTCTTACACAGTATAATAAATGGACAGACCTAGATTTTAGTTGCATTATTTATGCTGTGGAAAATAGTGCATTAAAAGTACATTAGCAAGTCCAGTACAATACACTTACAAAATACATTAAGAGTTCCATTAAAGTAATAGTTTATAGATATGGGTTGAACACTGTGAAAATAAATTAGAACTAAGCCAATAATCACTTGTGATGTTTAGAGAATAGAAGCCCTAGGGAATCACGGGAAACAAAAGTATGAGTTCTATTTTCATTGGTAATGAACTGGCAAATGTATGAAACCCCAAGAGAGTAAGCACATTCGAGATAGAATATAGATGTGCGTGCCTCTAAGCAGATATACATGTTAATATTTAAAGCATATAAAGCGTTTTGGATAGGGAATAGATAAAACAGGTTTCACAATTTTTTGTCATTCTATGATAAGTCCCATTGGGGATAATTACCTTAAAGTGCAACTGAACCCAAAACATTTTCTTAGTTTTGGATAGGCTGAAGAGGGATTAGAACACCTGTCAAGTTTTAATTGCTACCTGTGTCTCCGTAATGCTGGGCACACACCTTACAACCATCGCAAGACTCTTGTCTTGCGATGGTTGTAAGGTACTTAAAAAAACCGGACGATCTGCCTATCTTGGACAGGCAGATCGTACTTGCGATGATCGTAAGCCGTGCCCCCCTGAGGGGCGGGCTTCCGATGACCGCAATGCCGGACGGGCAGTGTGCGCTTGCGCACACCGGCCCGTCCGGCTTTTATCTTACGAACATGCTACACACCCGCCGAAAATCGTACGATGCTCGGCGGGTTTTCAAACATGTTCGTAAGTTTAAAGTCGTGCGACCTTACAGTAGTAGAGGTCGCATGGCTTCCACACACCTTACGATAATCGTACGATCGTGGGATTTCCCGCGATTATCTTACGATTAGTGTAAGGTGTGTGGGCACCCTTAGGGAGATCCAACTTGTCTATTTGTCCTGGTGACCATTATCAATGAAAATGAGAAAAATCCCAGATTTTGAGTTGTCATCAGAACAGAAATAGATGGGAAATCGAACAATGGGGACCAACTGGGATTTCCCAATTTCCCTCTCTTTGGAAGGATTTGCTCTCACTTCCTGTTGTGGCTATCAGAGAGGATGTGAGAGGAAGTCTCCCCAATGGGACACAGATGGCAACAAAAAAGCTGACAGGGGTTATAACCCTCCCTTACTCCAAAACGAGACAAAAAAAAGAATTTGGCATTAGTTCTACTTAACTATTCTTCTAACTCCCTGTCCTGTAGACACAATAGGGAGTGAGAGGAGAAGTTGACACCAGTGTAAATGCCCCTTTGGAAAACTTCTTAAATTCTGTTTCATCGACAACTGAAAATTTTGAATCGCCTCCCAATTCCGGCCTCAATGACATTGGTCATTACCATGACATATAGAGAATGTGAATCTCTCCAGTGGGTACAAAGGCAGCAGAAAAAAACTGACAGTTGTTTTAAAGCAGGGATGTGCGGTCAGGTAAGGCAGGTGAGGCAGAGCCTCACCTGGTATTATGAAGGAAAAAGCTTTTTCTCCATTCAGAGTGGCTTGTAACGGGTTACAGAGCAGGGAAAGTCTCCCCACTGTGTAACCTGTCATTACAGACAGCGCTTCATCCGGCTTTTTACATCTATGTTAGGTTACACAGCAGCGAGCTTCCACACTGCTTGTGTAACCTAACTTAGTGAAGCAAGAGCTGCATCAGCCTCTAGCCTATGTTATAGGCTTGAGCTCTGTGGATGGTTTGGACCAATGGAAAGCGCCATTGGTCCAAGCAAAAAAAAACAACAAACACTGAGGACATGCCTCACCAGTGACGAGCAAGTGAGGGACATGGAGGCTCCTTCCTGTCTCCTCCCTTTCTCCTCCCTCCTTTACACTAGCTTGGTGTCCAGGTTGGAAGGGGCTTCGGCGGGGCGGGCGTGCTGGGGCGGGGCTCAAGAATGCCTCGCCCAGCACGGAAGGTACCGCGCATGTCTGTTTTAAAGTGACGCTAAATTAATTAGTTAATAAGTTAAATCTTAAAGATGTATTTAAGTACCCCAACTAGTAACAAAAATGTAGCTTTTATCACTCAGCTGTAGATCCTGAAATCATCTCTGAATTGTTGCTCCAAGCTCACTCCTGTGATGGACCACAATCTTAATACAAATTAATAAACTAAACGTGACATTGTAGTCCATCACAGGACTTAGCTTGAAGCGGTGTCTACTTTGAAACACACACAGGGACCATGGGGAACAAAAGTAGCCACCCCCCAGAAGGAAGGAAAGTGTCAGCACCAATTCAGAGATGATTTGAGGATCTACAGCTCAGTGATGCACAAATAAGATACAGCTTTGTTAATAGTTAAAGTGACATTAAACCCTCAGATTTTTTAACATAAACCAATTTGCTGCTCTTCCTTTTAAATCCGTATCTCTTCTCCTGCTGGGGGAGAACTTCCCTTTGCAGCTGAGTGCCTCTTCCTGTAGTGCTGGCTCAGGTTGTGAACCTACACACAGACACCATGTATCCATTTCAGGGACAAGGCAGTCTGCTGCAAAACAGAAGTTCTGCCCAGCATGAGAAGAGAGAAGGATTTAAAAGGAAAGCAGCAAAGAGAAGGGAAACAACCATGGATTACAGTAAGGCACACATTACAGTATTGGTTTATGTTAATAAATCTGAGGGTTTAATGTCACTTTAAGTTACTTGAATACATTTTTAAGATTTAACTCCTGATAAAGCTTGTAACCCTTCACACGATACCAAATAAAATAATTTTTTATTGTTTTCTATGTTCATTAGAAAGAGACTGTTCACTTCCTGTCCTGGTGACCGCACCATAAGTGAAGGAAAATCTTCTCAATAGAATAGAAAATCTTCTCAAGAGTGTGATAAAATCCTGAAACTCTTAACATTTTCCTGCTCTGCGCTTTACATTGATGGTTGTCCCACTGGGGATTTTGTGTGATATGTTGAATATATGGGCTCAGACCAAACCAACCAAGCTGAATGCATCAATTATAGATGTGACTTTCACACTCATCATAAACATTCATACTTACAGCTCGATGAGGGAATCTAAATCACTGAAGATGTCTCTTGGCAGAGTCTTAATGTGGTTATTGGCCAGAGAGCTGGAAGTAAAGGTGAAGTATTTACAAGAAGTTGCTGCTACTGAAGTACATGAAATCAAATGAATATACAGCAAATCAAAGGGGATAGACTTACAGGTGAGTGAGATCTCGAAGGCCACGAAAACCATGTCTGGAAATGGTTTCTATTTTATTTCCTTCAACAAACCTAGGAAGAAAGAAATGTTTAATCCACATGATTGTATTGTATCTACTCAGAGAAATATACATGACAGCACTGCAAAATCCGATTGAAAATGAAACCAGGAATGCATACATGGAGTACTCAGCAATTATGAAATCCAACCCAGGCATTACGGGGGTACACCAAATCACCTCCTTTCCTTTTGCTGGTAAACTTATAATCTGAGAACCCAGTCTTGTGATGCAGGAGAGAAATTCATGAACACTCCCACTGTAGGATCCTTGCAAGCACAGAAAGCCTTCTGTACAAAATGTCCGTACTAAGAAGGTTTTTAGTAGCCATCAATCAGGTGCAAACCATCCTTGAAACTTTGAATAGGCTGCCAACACACAGGAACGGACAAAACATGGACAGCTTTTTTCTCGGTGCAATGCACCATAGTAATTCAATACCGCGCGTTGTAGTGTGTTGCAGTGAATGTGCTTTGGAGCTGCATTTCCTTAGTGCATAGGGGTGCTATTCAAAATTAAAGACACAAGTGAAAGTGCCTTCCAAAATTTTAAGATAAAGTCTTACAAAAAAGAGGAGGGATAGAAAAAGATGAAGGTTTTTGGTGGCTCCAGAAAGAACAAGTCCAATAAACATCAGTCTCATAGAAGTATAAAAAGTACAAATTTATTGAACAATATATAATAAAAGCATTGAATATGCATGAAAGGATAAAAATGAGAAGCATATACCTCAGGGGAAAGGATATACCTCCTATCACCCCCTATATACCACAATTGAGATTTTTGCCTAAATGATCATAATCTCATACATGTGAGGAAATAGCATCATAATAACATAATATCAAGGCAACTAAAAATAAAACAGGTATTGATGGATTATATCTCAAGTGGAAAGAGCGAAGCTGATGGGGGTGATATGTTGCTTGCAATGCTAGAAAGACACTGCTTGTAAACTCATAAGCTCAACGCGTTTCGCCTCAATGGGGCGCTTCTTCAGGAGCGGGGAGAGGTAGTCCCTTCAGTGTGAGGTCAGCAAGTGCTTAGCAATGGCATATGGCGGGCCAAGGGCATGTAAGCCCAGGGTGGAGGAGGATGGAATTATCACAGCTGTTCAGCTGTTATGATCATTTAGGCAAAAATCCCCAATTGTGGTGTATAGGGGGTGATAGGAGGTATATCCTTTCCCCTGAGGTATATGCGTCTTATTTTTATCCTTTCAATATCCTTTTATTATATATTGTTCAATAAATTTATACTTCGATGAGACTGATGTTTATTGGACTTGTTCTTTCTGGAGCCACCAAAACACCCCATTTTTTTCTATCCCTCCTCTTTTATGTAACAAATTTACCAGGGGTTGGTCCCCAGAAAGCAGGGATCTGTGCATCACAAAACAGTTTTGCTTCTAAGATAAAGTCTTACAGTTCAGTTTCTATAGAAAGAAGCCACCTCCAGAGGATAAAAGTTCCCTGCCAGCATGCTGCAGATAATAATCCTTGCTCTCCATGTGGAAGCAGAGATCTCTCTGCAGAGGTCCGAAATCGGGTCAAAGCTAAAACTTTCTGCAGGGAGCATGGTCTTTGCTAATTGCAGAGTTATAGGTCTGATTTAGAAGGGGACATATTTGACTTCCCTATAGAGACCATTGCTTCAACACAGCAAGCAGGACAACAGTGAAAATGTAAGTACTCTGATTCTTCTTTACAGCTATCAGCTTGCTTTAGATGTTTTACTTAGGTGACAGTTGATTTAAAGCTTTAATTTAATGATAATGAATGTGCTGCGCTTCATCTAGAACAGGGGCACCCACAATTTTTCGTCTGGAGATCTACTTTTCAAATGACAAGCTCAATAAGATCTACCAACGTAAAACACCTGCATTCAGGGGCAGGAATGGGTGTGGCAGTGCATTGAAGTCAACCGGCCCTCTCTTCTCTCTTTCTCCCCTGTTTCTATCTGCTGTCTCTTCTCTCACTTTCTCTCTCCTGTCTTTCTTTTCTTACCTCCACTGCAGCAGTTTCCCAAGTCTCCTCTCTCCTTCCCATCTGCGGCGTCTGACACATTCAGCCGCACGAGCACATGGGATGACAGGACACAGGTCAGCGAGCCGATCGGGATCTACCAGTTTTCGCTTTGCGATCTACTGGTAGATCGCGATCTACCTAATGGGCACCCCTGATCTAGAACAATACATAAACAAATCTCTATAATAAATATGTGCTTAAATAATACATGCAATCAAAAAAGTGTTCACAATGAATCTTCTTATAAATAATAGTCCTATGGAAAGTTCAATCATATCTTCCGTGTTCAAATATACACAAATGTGGAATCACATGTATATAGTGCTCAGGATTTGTCCCAAGTGCACCACACTCTTTATCCTTCCACTGTGAAAGTTCTTTGTACAAAGTCCATACGTCAACTCCAATTATCACCCAGGTGCTCCCCCTCTCAGTGTGATTGCACATTTGTGTATATTTGAATACGGAATATATGATTGAACTTTCCATAGGACTATTATTTATAAGAAGATTCATTGTGAACACTTTTTTGATTGCATGTATTATTTAAGCACATATTTATTATAGAGCTTTGTTTATGTATTGTTCTAGATGAAGCGCAGCACATTCATTATAATTTGATATATTCAGAGGGTAACACTTCTTATAGTGCTTGCAGCTGCACAGGGTTTGGCGCGAGGTGCTATTTATCACTTATTAAAGCTTTAATTTACTTGAAAAATAAGTTCCTGCAAAGAAGTAGGTCAATACTTACCTGTTCGGCTTCCCACATTGCCAGACTCCCCTATGATGCACAAAATTCCCCAGGTGAAGTCATCTGACACTGGCACTTCCGTGAGTTTCAGCCTCCTATATTCTCTGCTGTACTCCCTGGGATTGCTTTTGGAGATTTGCTCTTAATTCCTGTCTGGTGAATCTGTTGTCAACAGGACAGGAAGTAAGGTGAAATTTCACACCCTACATGGGCTTTTACCGACTCAAAAGCTGAAGGCAAAAGTTTTGAATGGTCATACACTTTAATCTTTTCTTTTGAAGATTTTAGAAGCACTAGAGGACATATACTGTATAGCTGCAGGAAAAACAGCACAGGCAGCATCCTAGCTGAATAACCTTCTGTGAAAAAATCAATTACAGGTCAATGCACCTAAATTGTACATTTTCCTAATGCATAGTGTAAAGATAAATAGCTGTATTTATGTTTTCTTATTTGTACCATCACCATTCCCTATTGGGGG